AAATCTATTTCCTTTGCCATCTTGGGGAAATTTTCCTTTATTATTTGTTCAAATAAGTTTTCCACTGGTGGCTGTGCCTTTCCCCCTTCTGGTACCCCTATAATTCGGATGTTGGAACGTTTAAAGATGTCCTGGAGGTTCCTAAGCTTCTCCTCATTTTTCTGAATTCTTATTTCTTCATTTCTTTCTGTTTGATCATTTTTTTCTTCCTTCTGGTCCACTCCCTTGATTTGAGTCCCAATTTTCTTTCCATTACTATTGGTATCCTTTGTATCACCATTCATTTCAATTAGTTTAGCTTCCATATGTTTCTCTAATTTGTGACTAAAATCAACCAGTTCTGTAAGGATGCTGATAACCAGTGTTTTGAACTGTGCATCTGAAAGACTGGCTATTTCTTCATCACTTAGGTCTATCGGTTCTGGGGCTCTGAGTTGTCCTAGAGCCATTTTTGGTCTATTCGTGCTGTTAAGTGAGCGGAGCGAAGCCTTAGTTGTTTACCAGGACGGGGAGACCCAGGTCGCTGGTTTGTGACACTGTGTGTGGGGGCGTGGTCAGAGAGGGAGCAATGGCGGTCCTCTCTGCTAGCCCAGCATATCCAGTCACTCCACACGCCTGGGGCTTGTTTATCCGATCGGAGTTGTGCGAGCCTGCTGCCCCCCGCTGGCTTACCTTCTCACTGGTTTCTCTGCACGTAAATGCACGCGACCGACCGACCCACCGCGCTTTTTCCCTGTGCACTCCGACAGCCAGCTCGCTCGCAATCAGCGCCCTCGGTTGCCTGGGCGCACTGCCCCAGGAATTTTTTCTTGCTAACCTGCTCCGCTGCTGGCCTCGCTCCTCGTACCAGTCCAGCTGAGTATCTAGTTGTCCTTTGGACTCCGTATTGTCGATTTTCCGTGTGGCTTGGTTGTGACTGCTGTTAAAAATAGTTGTTCTTAGATTTGGTTGTGCACAGAGGCAAGGTGGTTCCTCCACCTACGTCTCCATCTTGGCGGAAGTCTTGGTTAGTGGTCTTAAAGCAAAAAGAAAATCAGTTTGAATCCAGAGAGCCTATGTATGAGATGTGGCCTGGATACTTCTCAAGGAAAGGCTAGACATTTTTTTTTCACTAGTTACACTAAGTGAAATTCAGCCTACCCAGGTACATACTTGAAAACTTTTGATGGGTGACATGAGCTATTTGTGGAAAGCAATCACATCCTTTGCATCTCCAGTAGCGCGAATTGCATAGTAAATAAATAATTGGTATTTAATACTTTATTCACTGGCTAATGGGTTGAAACCTGAAACTACTGGCCATGAAAAGCCTACTGAGAAGGTACTACTATGAGAAGCATAGCAGGAGGATCATTAGGTTCTAAAACATTCACTTATTCCAAAAAACCAAATATATAAAGGCATTCTGTACTATTCATTTCCTGAATTTTTGCCAACCTCTATGATTTTCTTCTAATTCAAGCAACTATCAACTCCAGGAAATGACAGTTAATTTACTGTCACTTGCAACTGTTTTTTTAGCCCTACTTGCACCCAAGTTTTCAGGAGCACACACTATTGTCCTTAGACTTGGTTGTAAATTTTGTTAAGGATTTTGTGATTCGGTAGCTGGGATGACTCAGATGAAACTCACTTTTAAAGAGATGACTCAGTGACGTTAAAAAATGTGTTAACTGGAAAAATAACTTTTTGGCAAGAATATTCCCTTTTTGAACTGCTGTATGACATCAGTTGACAGTATTGCTGTCTGTGACCCATTCTTATATCTGTTCTGGTGCTGTTGGTGCTTTTCATGGTTACAGTATACAATATACAATAATTCATTAGCTCAGACAGGCTGGTTCTGGACTCAGGATGACTTCTGAAGGGAATTGGCTGAAGCTTACTTGTTCTTGTCACCCAAAGAAATAAATTCCTAAGCAAGATAACATCTTTAATAAGACTTCTGGAGTTATTTTTGATGGTTAGACCAAAAATCATTATTATGAGATCATTATCTGTATCTTTCCAGTTATTGGCTGTGTGATCTTAATACCTTTGTCTATAAAAGTGATAATAATAGTACCTACTTGGTGTTTCAACCCCTTCATTCATTAAACGATGCTACTAGTAGAGCCTACATCATGAAATGCAAGTGATAATGGGTAAATACCCATACGGTTCTTAAGTAGTACCTGGACTATACAATTCTGCCAATGTTTAGCTATTTTTTTTATTTTTTATTTTATTTATTTATTTAGTTATTTTTCAAGTACAGTTTTCTTTTGTCAATTTCTCCCATCCCAACCCCCTCTCCACCCCGTCTCCCCACCTCCCTCCCATCCCCCCCAGACCTCATCCCTGTGTCTTTCATACTTGTTCTTCAAAATACCTCCCCGTTTTTGAAAATTATTATTAGCAATATGTTTGCTGTTATTTGCTAGTTATGTAAAACATTATTTCTGGTCCTTGTTTAACCATAAGAGGAGAAGTTTGGTCTGGACAACTATTACTTATGATGACTTGAATCAAATTTATGCATTTAACAAGAGCATAAATATTCTAAAATAGACATTTCCCTAATGTAGACTTTCTTGGATTAATTAAATCTCTCCCCATTTTTCTAGTTCTTATGTTAAGAATCTGAATTGCACCTACAACTTGTGCCAAGCATTATTATCATATATGGAAGCACCAACTGTATGCTGAAAAATGCACCAAAATGAAAATTGCCATGATTTTGTTTTAGTCCTGGTTATTTTTCTAATTTCTTAACTTGTTTTTCCTCAGTGTCTTTACCCTTAACTTTGGTAATAAAAACTAGCTTGATGCTTTTGGGGGTGGTTCAGGTAAACTGTATGCTTGCTTTGAGCAAATCTTATTTTAATGTAACCAGCATGCATTCCTTCTTCTGGTATTAGCTCCTGGTATCCTCCTTTGGGCTTAACATCTTTACCGTGAGGTACATTAAAAAAAATAGCCCTACTTCTTCTTTTTTTGGTTACTGAATTTCAAGAAATGGATCCCTGGAATTATATACTTGAGCAGACATAGGAAGACCAAATGGTTCTTCCACCACCAGGAACCATCGAAGAGATACTGTTATTAGTACCTGTTATGCAATCATGGCACCATTTTGTTCCTTCCCTTTATCTCTGGATCTTGCTTTGTTCCTGTCAGCAATGCCATATTCCCCACCCCAGCCTCCTTTTCTGTTTGTCTAAATTAGCCAGAGTTGGTTTTGGTGATTGAGGTAACAATTTCCAATTTGTACCGTGTTCTCAAATACACTGCAAGTTGGGGAGAAAGCTGTGGTGCCAGGAATTTGTTGGGTTTAGGCTTGTAAAAGTCACTGTGCTGGTCATAGATGAGGTTTCTCCGACAATGAAAATGTTTGGCTTCTTAGCTGTGGAATTTCATTCTATGAGTGCAACATGTTTTTGGGATAAATAGAATATTAAAGATGGAAGGCCTGTGAGCAAACTAAAAGTATTTACATATAGGATGTACCCTACCAGCTGCATATCAGTGATTAAGATATTCTCTTGTGCTGTCCTGTTAGATCAAGACAGTACAGAGGAAATATGTTGAAGAAAGGGATTGAAATGTAGTGAGAGTGTGGCCACATCAGTGTTAATGGAGGAGATAAATTTTCCTTCGTGATGAGGAAAAAGCATCAGGAAATACTATATTGAGTTCTTTTTTCCTTTTCCCCTAGCCTCCAATTTAAGCTGTAGAAGAGTAGGTAGGGCAGATACTCATTCATTTTCAATTAAGAGCAAGTGCAAAGATAGGAAATCATCTCTGAGCTGTCTATAATACTGGCCCCAAACCTTGTAATTCCATCAAATTGTTTTTTGTATTTTTAAAAACTTGCTGCTCTATTTCATTCATATTATTTTATTTTTTAATTGTTTTATTGTCGTTCAAGCATAGTTGTCTGCATTTACCCCCGCCAATCCCCAACCCCCACCCATCTTTACCTCCTTCCTCTGATTCCACCCCCGCTTGGTTTTGTTCCTGAGTTCTTTATAGTTATTCCTGAAAACCTTTCCTTCCTTTCCCCCCATTATTCTCTCCCACCTCCCCTCTGGTACTGTCAGATTGTTCTTAATTTCAATGTCCCTGGTTATATTTTGCTTGCTTGTTTGTTTTGTTGATTAGGTTCCACATATAAGTGAGACCATATGGTATTGGTCTTTCACCACCTGGCTTATTTCACTTAGCGTGATGCTCTCCAGTTCCATTCATGCTGTTGCAAAGGGTATTATTTTAAACCACTTTATTAAGGCATGATGACCTTATAAAATTTGACATATTTAAAGTATACAACTTGCTGTGTTTGGGATAAGTATAAACCCATGAAACCACCACCATCATCAAGGCTGTAAAAATATCCATCACTGCCCAAAGTTTCCTCTGGCATACAGTATTGTTAGGTATAGACATGATCTGCAAAACTTCTTTATTTTACATAACTGAAACTTTGTATTTTTAACTATCACCTTTCTTTTTCACCTCCCATAGGTGGCCGGCAACCACAATTCTACTTTCTGCTGCTATTAGTTTGGCCATTTTAGATCCCAAATATAAGTGAAACTATGCAGTATTTTGTCTTTTTGTGTCTATTTTATTTCACTTAGCATAATGACCTCCAGGTACATTCATGTTGCTGCAAATGGCAGTATTTTCTCTTTTTTAAGGCTGAATAATCCATTGTAGTCATGTAATACCACATTTTCTCTCTCCATTCACCTAATGATGGTTATTTAGGTTTTCGTATCTTGGCTATTTTGAATAATGCCACAATGAAGATAATGAACATGTAAGTATAGATGTCTCTGAGATACTGATTTCAATTTCTTTGGATAAATACCAGAAGTGTGATTGCTAGATCATACTTCTCCCCACCCCACACACATAAAAATTCTTAGTTTATTAATTCTCTCATGAAAAATATGCAGTTACCACTGATAAAGTCTCTGAAAAAGTTTTACTACTTCTGTTGTTCAATCTGCAGCTCACTTTTTGTCCACACCAACTTTGGCCTTTGTAGTCCTCCTGACTTTCTTCATTATGTTTTTGTGTTGTTTTTTTTTTGCTGTTTTCTTCTTCTCATATGGGCCATGAATTGTGAGTCTATGTGTAGGTCCATCTTTCTCTATGTAATCCAAAGAATAACAAGTCACACCAAAGCCAGTTGTCTTGTCACCACCAAAATGGTTTCTGAATCTAAACGCAAAGATGACATCTGGTGTGGCTTTACACATATTGGCCAGTTTTTCACAAATTTCTGTCTTAAACACTGTTGCTTTCTCAGGGTGAAAGTTGGCAATGACCATTTTTCTTTTCCTATGAAGCAGTTTGTTGGTTGTGACCATCCTGGTCTGGAAAGTTACTGTGTCATTCATGGTGGTGGGTGAGCTTTAAGCAGCCAGGGTGGGAAAGAGAATAGGATGGTTTTATCTTTACTTTTTAAAGGATCCTCCATATAGTTTTGCATAATGGCTGTACTAGTCTGTATACCCAGTAATATATATCAATTTTCCCTTTTTTCTCTCCTTCTTGCCAAGATTTGTTATTTTTTCCTTTTAAATGATAGACATCTTAATATGAGTGAGAGTATATCTCATTGTGGTTTAAGTTTGCATTTCTCTGATGATTAGTGATGTTGAGCACTGTTTCATTGTACCTGTTGGCCATTTGTATGTCATCTTTGGAAAAATATCTATTTAAGCCCTTTGACCATTCTTTATCAGGTTTTTAAAAATATTGAGTTGTATGAGTTCCTTATGTATTTTGGAGAGTAACCCCTTATTTGATATATGGTTTTTCTTTTTTTTAAAATTTTATTTAGTTATTTTTCAAGTACAGTTTTTTGTCTATTTCTCTCATCCCAGCACCCCCCCCGTGCTCCTCACCTCCCTCCCATTTCCACCCCCCTTAGTTCTCGTCCCTGTGTCCTTCCTATTTGTCAAATCCCTCCCCCTTTTCCCCCTTTAAGTCCTTTCCCTCTCCCCTCTGGTTTTTCATATTTATGGATAGATCAGTGAGTATAGAAATATTTTCTACCATTGTGCCTCCATTGTGTTTATGAATTTCTGTTAGTGTGATGTAATTACATTTGTTTGTTTTTACTTTTGTTGTCTATGCTTTTGGTCTCATAGCAAAAAAAAAACCCCAAAAAACCAAAAACATTGCCAAGACCAATGTCAAGAAATGCTTTCCTTATCTTTTCTTCTAAGAACTTTATAATTTTAAGTTCTACCTTTAATCTTTTATTGTGAGTTGATTTTGTGTATGTTATAAGGGTACATTTTTATTCTTTTGCATGTGAATATTCAGTTTTCCCAGCGCCATTTATTAAAGAAGATATCTCTTCTGTAGATGGTTGCCAAAATTGGTGTTTCTATGTAGTGTTGAGGGTTGAAACCTCTTTTCCCACCATCTGGCTGATATCATTCTTCAAATTGTGCATAAAAGTCTGCTAGGTGTCTAGGGTTTAATACTAATTGCTACCTGAGATGAGAGAAGAAAGTGTTTCTTTTTAGGGACCAAGTTGTTACTTACAATCTTAAAATGGTACTCATTTATAGGTTGCTAGTCTCTTTCGCCATTGTTTCATAAATAAATTGTTCCCAGGATGGAGATGGGGTGGGAATGCATAATCATGTACCATATGTCTTTTTCCAAAGCACACTTTAAAACTTGCATCTCAAAGGATATTAAAAGGAAAGTATATTAAAATTGGTAGTGGTTTTTATGTATTTATTTTCATGAGTGCTATTATGCACAAGTAATAATCAATGATGTTTTAGCAAACATGGGACAGAAATAGATTCATAAAGAGATAAAGAAAGAGCTATAAAGCTAGAAAAATATAAAATTCACCAGTATACACAGAGGAAACTACTGAGTTAACACATGTTTTTGAAAATGGGAAATTAAAACTTCTGTAAAATAGAACAAAACTTCCAAAAATAGAGCTAATAGAAGTTCTACATCAGTGAAATTTATTTAGTTTATCTGATCTAATAGTGTCTTAGAAGTAAAGTTATAGTCTGTAGAACTCATATCTTGAGTAACATCAAGGGCTCAGTAGGTATTCAGTCATCTAAGTTGATGATGATGATTCAGCCACATTAGTGATTACTCACCTTACTTACAGTTGGAAATGACCATACATACCATCAACCTTCATTTTCACTTTTCTGGGCTATGCTAAATTGTTACAAATAATATTCACCTTGTACTGGAATCAGTCTAAAACAGATACATTTTATACTTTATTTATGTTTTGCAGCCAAAATAACATGAGGATGTCATTTTTAAGTCAATCTTATCCATAGGTAAAACCTACAGCAAATTGGAGAGCAAATTTCTCACAAGGAATCAATATTTTAATTAAGTGTATTCATGCTATTTTCACTACTATTTATTGACTATATTATACATGTTGAGACCATCTTTTTCAAAGCTTCTGAAATACAGTTTTGAGACACTTCCTGAGTTAGAAAGTCTTACCTGATCCTGCTCTGCTCAGCCCTATCTTATCCTGTCCAGCCTCCCTGACCCTTTCCAACTCTGGGCTAAATAAGGGAAGATAAGTTAATTCAGAATTTCCATCCCTGGAAGCTACCAGCCTACATATTTCCACAACTGGTTTACTAAGAAGCAAAAAAAAAATTATAGAGCGTATATGTCAGAATAATTGTTCCACTTCTAGAAGAATGCTTCGAGGTTTCCCTGAGTAACTTAATTTTAAGTGAGGCAGATCAGAAGGGGGCTGGATGTGTTCTCAGCTCCCCTTCAGAAAGGAAAAGGAAAACGGTCTCCTTTCAACAAACTCTTGGAAGGCTTCCTGATGCCCTGTATTAATGCTGGTCTTGTATCACCAGACCAGAGAATTAGAACAGTGACTAAATCTTTCATATCCTCAAATCATTCATCATTGATCTGCCATTTCCAATAAAAAACTAGAAGATATTAGAGCTATGAAAAGACCAAAATAAAGGTATATAACAAATACCAATCAGAATTCTTTTGTGCTTGACATCTGATTTAATACAAAGATGGACATCTAAAGAAAAGAGCTAAAAGCTTTGTTTTAGAAATAAAATAATGACATGAACTGATCAAATGAACATTGTCCAAGGAATGATCTAGGGCTAGTAATAAAGAAACTCTGCTTAACTTTATAACTCAAAATCTGATCACAGAACCATAAAAAATGGCACTCATTATAAAGATATCAAAGATATTTCCGGATCAGAAATAATCCAGAATGCATTAAGTAATATTCAGTCCAATAAAGCAAAGAAGGAAACAAATCTGTTTTAGAAAGATTTGGTGGCCAAAATTGAAATGAAAAGGGTACTATGATTAATGTTCAGGTAACCAAATTGCCTTAGTTTATGAGCACTTTTAGTCTTTAGACTGAAATTAGAGAATTTTTGTTATATGTTAGTGTAAAGGGCAATTCGGAAGTAGAAAAAATTATGTTAGATTTCTTAAAATCTCAGCACTGTTTCATAGTTATCATGCGGTCCCTGGGCAAGTCATTTCATACCCCAGAATCTCTATTTTCTTATCTATGAAAAAAAGAGGTTTAGACTAGTAATAACTTGCAGATTTAAAAACTATGATTTTAGAATACTTTTAACATCACATTCTTGTATGCATTACAAATCTTTCTGCTTTATAGATCATAGAATTTATAGAATAGGTGTGAGAGAGTCTTTAGTTTTTAGCGGATATAGCAATGGTAGTGTACCAGAAAATACAGAATAGTATAATTTAAAATAGCAAGGCTTTAGACAAGATTTTTTATTTAACACAATCCAAACAATTAAGCTAAGCTTTCACCTTTCACAGTCAAAACTTGATACTTTGTAAGTAAAATATTATTAAAATCATTGAAAAACTTTTATGACTTATTCAGCTAACAGGAATCAGTTTTGTACAACAATAGCTTTTTTTCTAACTCTTTTGCTTGTGCAGTTGCACCTTTTACTTTCATGTTATTTGTTCATGTGGTCAATTACAACTTTTGAAATTCCAGAGGCAAAATACCTATGCAAGGTAATTGCAATACTGTTCATATATGAACTCCCCATGGGACAAAATGCCACCTTTGTTTAGGCGTATACAGTAGGTGATGAAGTCAGTCTGGAAGAGCTGATTGGGAGAAATGAGATTGAGGAAAGAAAATGCCAAGTGTGCTGTGAGTGGTCTGACCAAAAGAAAAGACTGACACAATTCATTGCTACCACTTTGCATGTTCCTCTATTCTTGTTGGCAGAGCTTGGGTTTAGAAAACATTCAGGGTGTCCAACCTGCAGTCTCCGGGATGCATGCAGCCCAGGATGGCTAGCAACACAGGCCAATACAAAGTTGTAAGTTTACTTAAAATATTATTAGATCTTTCTGTGATTATTTAATGCGTGGCCCAAGGCAACTTTTCTTCCAGAGTGGCACAGAGATGCCACACCACTAGGGGCATGGGTATGTGACCTAATTTTGGATAATGAAACTTGAGGAAAAGTCTTTTGGAGGGCTTTTAGGAAATATTTATCACCCACCAAAAAAGAGAGGGAAAGAGTGAAAAAATCCCCATAAACTGTATTTTATCTACATGAAATCTCTGAAATTGTGGCAGCCACCTTGCAACATGAATAGACAAGACAAAGGATGAAGGTAATAATCCTGGAATGTCAGAGTAGGCAAATAAAATGCTTGGACCTAGAGGCCACTGAACCTATCCCTGAACTACCAGCTTTTGGATTTATGTTGAAGGAGATCATTTTACTTATTCTTCAAACTCTTCTGGATGACTATTTTGTTGATTGTGGCAGAAAGGGTTGTAACTCTTCCATCTCCAGCTACCAGTTCCCTTTGACTTTGTTTTGTTTTTATCCTAGAGACCCACCACTTCCTCTGACATGCTTACAGTTGTTTCTGTAAGATTGTTTTGGGCTGGGAGGATGGGGTAGTTGGTGCGTGGGTCTGCCTTTTAGTTCCACATTTTATTTCCTATTTTATCTCAGAGCAGGAGTTCTGCTCACTCATAAAATGCTTACACAGTCAGTCTTCCCCATCCATGGATTCCCCATCCCTGGATTCAACCAACCTTGGATTGAAAGTATTCAAGGAAAAAAGGTTACATTTTTGCTGATTTGTATTATGTACTTAGGCCTATGAGGGCTGTATCTGGACTGAACATGTACACACTTTTCTTGTTGTTATTCCCCAAACAATGCAGTATAACAAGTAATAGGTTTCCCATTGCTTTCCCATTGTATTAGATATTACAAGTAACCTAGAGATGATTTAAAGTATACAGAAGAGTGTGTTGATGTAAGGGACTTGAGCATTTGTGGACTTTGGTGGCCAAGGGGGAGCGTCCCTGGAG